CCCTCCCCCTGAGATTCCTAAACTTACTTTAGTGGGGAGCCACCAGATAAACCTGACACATCCCACTTGGGTGCAAGATGTTAGGGCTTGTTGGGGTGTAAGACAGAGAGGAGATGGGAGGCTTCTGCCAAATTTTGACTCACATTGAAGTGTGTGTTTTCTGTCCCTCCATTTCAAAGCTCCACAAAGGTTGTGTAGCCTGACCCTTGTCTCTGGTCAACTGTGTGCCTCCCTCAGGAGTCAGAGCCTGAAAGATTAAGGGGCTGAAGGAAGGCAGAGGACCCCCCTCCACCCTTTTTCTAGCTTCCCCAAACAGGCATTTCCTGTTTCCGGTTTTGTCCCTGGGGTTGTGGTTGTGGGTGTGGAGCCCATAGAAGAGAGAATTTCTGTGTTGCTTTTTGCCATCACCACACAGACCTTGGTCACTGTGCTGATTTTCTGAATACTAGGTGAGTGGGCAACTGGCTGCCTGTCTCAGCTCTCTGTCTCCAACAGAGACTGTGCTCTTAGAGAACTAAGAGCCAAGTCCTGGCTTGACCACCATGCCTGGCTCCTGCAAAAGACCTTGATGCTTGTCCAACACAAGGACCCTCTCAGGCTGTGGAGAAGGCCAGTGGGAACCAAGGGTTTGTCCCCACCAAATAAGGAGGAAGTCTTACACATGTTTCTGACAGGGGTTTCCGGTCCTTCGCCACCTCTTGCATGCTTCATGTTACCGGGAAGTTCTTCTGGTGGTCTAACCGCAGTCACTACTGCTGTCTGAGGGAGCCCCATTCTCTTAACTGGCCCCTCTGAAGGCCTGAATGGGGTGATGAATCATTACCCCCCAGGGTCATGTGACTAGAGGGAAAGCGTCTCAAAGCTCAGCTGATTCTCTGAGGTCAGAAGGGGATTTCCTCTCTCAGGCCAGACAGACATCTGCTCCATTACTGTTGGTGGCCTGCAGCCCTGTTTAGGGCTAGTCCACAGCCCATAGGGCTGCTGAGTGACATCCTAACCCCCCACTGTGTTCCTGTGAGGCATGTGGTAGTGGTATGGTGGCTTAGGGCACATGATATCCTCTGATGAGTCTTGTCCACTTGTCAAATGGGGAATCATTCTTTCAAAATTTTTCTTTTCTAGGTGTGTGTGTTTGTGTGTGTGCATATGTATGTGTCTGCATCCTAGTGGACAATTACTGGGGTCATCTTCAGTCACTCTATATTGTATTTTATTTATTATTATTTTTTATTATTTATTTAGTCTTTTTGAGACAGGGTCTCCCTGTAGCCCCAGGCCCGGAACTTGCTTTGTAGACCAGGCTTGCCTTGAACTCACAGAGATCTGCCTGCTTCTGCCTCCTGAGTGCTGAGATTAAAGGCATGCGCCACCATGCCTGGCTGTGTTGTATTTTTAAAAGATTTATTATTATGGGGGCTGGAGAGATGACTCAGTGGTTAAGAGTGCTGGCTACTGTTGCAAAAGACCAGGGTTCAATTCCCAGCACTCACACGATGGCTAACAACTGTCTGTAACTCCAGTTTCAAGGGATCCAACACTCTCTTCTAACCTCTGTGGGCACTGCATGATGTGGGCAAATGTACATACACGCAGGCAATATACTCATACAGATAAAGTAAAAATAATAAATAAAATATTAAAAATGAACTGTTATTTAAAAATTTTGGATTTATTTTATTATATATATATTTTTTTGGTCTTTTTGAGACAGGTCTCCCTGTAGCACCAGCTGGCCTGGAGCTCACTATGTAGACCAGGCCTTGAACTCACAGAGCCTGCCTCTGCCTCCTGAGTGCTTGAGACTAAATGCCTGCACCACCACACCCAGCTTTGGATTTCTTCTATTTTAAAGATTTAGTATTATTATTCTAACTCAATTTTTTTTGTTTTATTGAGGAAGGGTCTTCCTGTACAGCAGGCTGACCTGATCTCATAGAGCTCCATCCACCCGCCTCTGCCTCCTGAGTACTGGGATTAAAGGCATGTGCAACCGAGACATCTGGCTTTTCATATCTTTTTCATGAGTTTTATTTGGTTGCTTGCATGAGTGCAAGAGTGATAGGTTAGTATTCACAGGAACATGGGCACCTTACAGTGGCTACACAACTGAGGAAAATGTTTTTTCCTCCCCCTTCAGCAAACATTAACTGTCTATTGATCTTCAGGAAGGGGCAGGGCCCTATGAGCCTCTCCCTCAACAACGATTAACTGCCTACGAATCATCAGGGATGGGTGGGGCCTTGTAAGCCTCTTCCCCCAATTCAACAACTTTCCTTCAGTCATGTCCCCAGTCCTGTGTCTTTATATATTTCTCCCAAAGAGAGCCCTCATGTGACTTGGATGCTGGGTGATGGTGGTGATGGTAATGGTGGTATGGTGATGGTGGTGATGATGAAGTTGGTGATGATGGTGATGGTGATGGTGATGATGATGGTGATGGTGATAATGGTAGTGGTGATGATGATGATAATGGTAATGATGATGAGGGTGATGTTTATGGTTATGGTGATGGTGGTGATGGTGATGGTGATTGTGATGATGGTGATGATGGTGATGTGATGATGATGGTGGTGATGGTGATGATGATGATGGTAGTGATGGTGATGGTGGTATGGTGATGGTGGTGATGATGTTGGTGATGATGATAATGATTTTGATGGTGATGATGATGGTGATGGTGATAGTGATGATGTGATAATGGTGATGGTGATGATGATGTGATGATGGTGATGATGATGGTGATGGTGATGGTGATGATGATGGTAATGGTGGTGATGGTGATAATGGTGATGATAATGGTGATGATGAGGGTGATGATGAGGGTGATGTTAATGGTTATGGTGATGGTGGTGATGGTGATGATGATTGTGATGATGGTGATAATGGTGATGGTGATGACGATGGTGGTGGTGATGATGGTGATGGTGATGATGATGGTGCTGGTGGTGATGATGATGATGATGATGGTGATGATGATGATGATGGTGCTGGTGGTGATGATGATGATGGTGATGGTGATGGTGATGATGATGGTGGTGATGGTGATGATGATGGTGCTGGTGGTGGTGATGATGATGATGATGGTGATGGTGATGATGATGGTGGTGGTGGTGGTGGTGGTGGTGGTGGTGATGATGATGGTGGTGATGATAGTGATAATGTTGATGGTGATGATGATGATAGTGGTGATGGTGATGGTGGTGATGGTGATGGTAATGGTGGTGATTATGATGGTGGTGATGGTGATAGTGACACAGGGAACATAGTGGAATTGGAAGTGGAGAAAATATAAGAGCTGGAGGATGGGGAGGAAGCTGTGATATGCTGTCTTCTGGACATGACATGACTGTTGCACTCATAAACTCACAGCAACTGTGGTGACCTGCACAAGATCAAGCCAGTCAAACCCCTACATAGATGGGGGAAGAATTCTCCAGGCCCTATCCCTTGCTGAGGAGGTATTGGAAGTGATTAGTTACAGGAAGATGGAGAATTATTCTTTTTTTTTAAATTTTTATTTTTTTGGACTTTTTGAGACAGGGTCTCCTTGTAGCCCCAGCTAGCCTGGAACTCACTGTGTAGACCAGGCTGACCTTGAACTCACAGAGATCCACCTGCTTCTACCTCCCAAGTGCTGGGATTAAAGTCCTGTGCCACCATGCCCAGCTGCTGGGAGAATTATTCTTTATTTATTTATCTTGGAGACAGGGTTTCACTATGTAGACCAGGCTGGCCTCAAACTCTCAGAGCTCCTCCTTCCTCTTCCTGCCAAGTGCTGGGATTAAAGGCATGGGCCACCATACCCAGTGATTTATTTTATTTTATGTGTATGAGTGTTTTGTCTGTATAAGTTGTACAATGCCCATGGAGGTCAGAAGAGGGCATTGGATCTCCTGGAACTGGACTTATGGATAGTTGTTAGCTGCCATGTAGGTGCTGGGAACTGAACCAGGATCCTCTGCAAGAGCAGCCAGTGTTCTTAACTGCTGAGCATCTCTCCAGTGTCCATGTCTTTTTTTTTTTTTTTTTGAGACAAGGTCTTACTATGTAGTGCTGGCTTGGTTGGTACTTGCTATGTAGACCAGGCTGGGCTTGAGCTCACAGAGATCCTCCTACCTCTGCTTCCTGAGTGCTGGGATTAAAAGGGTATACCACCATGTCCATCTATCATCGTCATCATCATCATCATCATCATCATCATCATCGTGATTAGTTTGTGTGTGTGTGTGTGTGTGTGTGTGTGTGTACATGCCATGGTGTGCATGTGCAGGTCAGAGAACACCTTTGTGGTGTCAGTTCTCTCCTTCCACCTTTACATGTGTTCCAGGGATTGAACTCATGTTGTGAGGCTTTTCAGCAAGCCCCTTTACCCACTGAGCCATCTTGCCACCTCTGTTTTTTAAATTTAAATATGTATTTACTTTTATATCTGTGTTTTCTTGTGTGTATGTGTGTGTCTGTGCACACGCACTAACATACACCAGTGCCACACCATGCCCCAAGCCACACATCATGGGGGCAGCCTCCCCCACCCTTCATTTTCTCTTACCCTCATCTCCTGCTACAGTTCTTGTGCCTTAAGAACATCCGAACCTTCCTGTCCACGTGCTGTGAGAAGTTTGGCCTCAAGCGCAGTGAACTCTTCGAAGCCTTTGACCTCTTTGATGTGCAGGACTTCGGAAAAGTGAGCTGAATTCCTCACACCCAAAGATTGGGCTGCAGTGGTTTTCATTACTGTCTACTGAGGAGAGGGGAGGATGTTGGGCCATTCGTTGGGGAGTCAGTGGAAGATCCAGACCAGCTTCACAGGCGCTGCTAAAAGCTGGGGGTACATGGCACTGAATTCAAGTGTCTGTTCCTTTCCTTGCTGTGTGACCTTGGATCTGTGGCTCTGCCTTTCTGATCCCTCAAGTCCCTCAGGTCTAACATGATCTCCCTGCTGTGTCTGAATGATGTTGAAGATGGAATAGGATGTTCCGTTAGGGAATAATGAGGGGGATGGGAAGTTAAGGGAGATGCTGAATTTTGCTCCGGAGAACCTTGAGGGGTCTAACCTTAAGGTCTAGCCCTCAGGTCCTGGGATTCCGAGGGGTGGCTGTGGAAAGGGGCTTTCTGAGCAATCGTGGCCCCCTCACAGGTCATCTACACCCTGTCTGCTCTGTCATGGACGCCAATTGCCCAGAGCAAAGGAATCATGTAAGTAAGCCACGGGGCTGCCAACTGGTCCCTGATGCTCTCTCCCACGGGTCCCCACCTACCTACTTACAAAATCCTGATCCTCCAGGCCCTTCCCCACCGACGACGATGCTGTGGGCGACGAAGACATCTACAGTGGTCTCTCAGACCAGATCGAGTGAGTGTCAGGGCCTGATGGATCCGGGCTCATGGGAATAGAGAACTGAAGTCTGTCCTGGGGTCTGGGGGGACACACTCTTAGGCCTGGGTTTATGGGGGTTGGGGGGCGCAGCGTTGATTTTAAAGGGATCCGATGGGTCCCTGACCTGGTGGTCTCTACCCGAATCTGTGTCCGCAGCGACACAGCGGAGGAGGACGAGGATCTGTACGACTGTGTGGAGAATGAGGAGGCGGAGGGCGATGAAATCTACGAGGATCTCATGCGCTCGGAGTCGGTGCCCACGCCGGTGCGCGGGGCTGGGGAGAGCAGGCAGGTGGGAAGGGTGGCGACTGCTGCAGGGCGCATCACCAGCCTCTGGGGGTCCTATTCACAGCCCAAGATGACGGAGTTTGACAAGCGCTGCTGCTGCCTGCGAGAGATCCAGCAGACTGAGGAGAAGTACACGGACACTCTGGGCTCCATCCAGCAGGTGCTGAGCTCTTGGGCCCTGCCAGGCACATGCGTGGGAGCCAGCGGGCAGGCGCACAAGGCTGGACCCACAGGTGACCTACACCTGTTGGACCAGCTCTGAGGTTCAGGGAGCAGCTTTGTCGTCTCTGGCGTTTTGTGTTTCTGTCTCTGCATCTCTGGGTTTCTACATAGCTCACCCTGTGACTTCTTGTCCTCTTTTCTGCCTGTCTGGCCTCCTCCTCCTCCTCCTCCTCCTCCTCCTCCTCCTTCTTCTCCTGCTCCTTCAAAAGATCTTCCTCCTCCTCCTCCTCTGTCTCCTTCTTCTTTGCCTCCTCTTTTTTTTTTTTTTTTTTTTTTTTTTTGGATAAGGGAAACTGTTTCTTAAATCTTCTCTCCTCCCCCCTCCATGTCTCCCACTCCTCCCTCTCCCTTCCCTCTCTCTTTCACACACACACAGAAGGTCTCACTATGTAACCCAGGTTGCTCTAGAAATTACAACGTCCCTGACTCAAGTGCTGGCTGGACAGGTGTGCATCACCTCGCCTGGCTCGCTCCCTCATTAAAAAAAAAAAAAACTTTACAGAGATTAATTCATGCACCATTTAACCCATATGCTTAAAGAATAGAGTTCAGTGTTTTTTGTTAAATTCACTTTCCCAACCAGCACCATGCCTAGTTATAGAACATGTCAACTTCTAAAGAGAAATTCTGGGGCTGGGGGGCTGACTCAGTGGTTAGGAGCTGCTCCTGTAGAGGGCCCAGTTTCAGTTTTCAGTACCCACAACAGATGGCTAACAACCATTTGAAACTCCAGTCCTGGGGATCCAACGCTCTCTTCTGTCCTCCTTGGGGATTGCATGACACAGGTACACATACACACACAGGCAAAACAATCATATGCATAAGGAACAATAATTAATTTTAAAATGCTAAAAAAGAGAAACCCTGCACAACTTCGCTGCCTGCCACCTTTCAATATTCCATTCTCCCTGAACCCCTGGCATTGGCAAACCCACTTCCTGTCTCTGGATTCACCTGTCTTGGACATTTCCTGTCGAGGATTCCCACATCATGTGGCCTTTGTGTCTTGTTCTCTCACTAAGTCCATGTCTTTGAGGTTCCTCCACAGGTCGTGTGTGTCATGGAACCTGTTCATGGCTAAGTACTATTCCAGCATGTGGATGGGCCATACTTGGTGGGTTATCTACCAGTGAATATTTGATGGGCTCACTTCAGGACCATTAGGAATAACTCTGCCATGGCACATTTAGGGATAATTTTTGTGTGTGTGATTCAGTTAGTTTACTGGGTTTAGTTACAGGAGTATGGGTGAGGGGTTACTTACCGGAACAGATATGACTCACAGATAGGTGTGTCACCGTAGCCCACCCCAGCATGGTGCCAGCTCAGGGAAACAGGAAGCCTGGAGCGTACTGCACACCCTGCAGGCAGCGTCAGGCTGGAGAGTGTCCTTTCCAGGCAGCTTGGCTGCTCTGAGTCTTGGGGACAGTTTTTGTATGGGTGTGTTCTCTGTCTCTGTCTCTGCCTTTTTCTGAGACAGGATCTCACTGTGTGGCCCAGCTGGTCTTGAACTCATGACCCTCCTGCCTCAGCCACCCCAGCACTTGATGGCAGGCAAAGCGTTTCTGTCTCTCTCTCTCTCTCTCTCTCTCTCTCATCTCTTTTTGCCTCTGCCTCTCTGTCTCTCTCTGTCTCTGTCTCTTCTTCTTCTGTCTCTTTGTCCCTGTCTCTCTGTTTCTGTCTCTATCTCTCTCTGTCACTGTTTTGGTCTGTCTACCCCTCTCTCTGTCTGTCTCCCCTTGCTGTTTCTGTGTCTCTGGGTTGAGCTGGATGGAAGTGTCTCCTTCCCTCTCCCTCTCTCTTGGCCCCTCAGCATTTCATGAAGCCTCTGCAGCGGTTCCTCAAGCCTCAAGACATGGAGACCATCTTTGTCAACATCGAGGTGAGCCAGCTGGTCCCCAGCCCTCACCCCATTCAGGGGAGTTCAGCTTACAGTATCTGCTGTCCTGGAGTGTGGGGTGGAGGGTTGAGAACACCCAGCACCCACAGCCCTGGACTCCAGCCTCAGCCCTGTCTCTCTCCTCCAAGTAGGATCTGCTTTCTGTGCATACCCACTTCCTGAAGGAGATGAAGGAGGCCCTGGCTGGCCCAGGAGCATCGACCCTGTACCAGGTCTTCATCAAATACAAGGAGAGGTGAGATGTGACTGAGCAGACCAGACTTTTTGGAATCATGGTCCTGCCTGAGCTGGGCACTGGGAAACATCAGAGACCATAGTGCAGGGAAGATTCTTTACTGTGTACTGGGGGTGGAGTCGGGGAGTGGTGGCCAGAGAAGTGAACCTGAGACCTGGGGCACTCTACACAAGCATTCTATCCCTGAGCCACACTTCTAGCCCCTCACTGGATGATTCTAGACTGTCACTCCAGCTCTGAGCCACTTCCTCAGCCCCTCACTGGGGGATTCTAGGCTGTCAGTCTACCCCTGAGCCACATCCCCAGCCCCTCACTGGGAGATTCTAGACAGGGGCTCTACTTTGGAGCCATACTCCAGCTCTTGTTTAATTCTTAACTGTGCTGTGCTATATGATACTTGGAAGTTACTTAACCTCTCTGTGCATATAAGTCATCTATCAATCTGGCATATTCAGGGTTAAAGTGAGGGTTGAATGAACTGACAAACTGCTTAGCAATGGGTCTGGTATAGGTTGATGCTCAATAAATGTTTGTGAAGTCAGCAACCATTAGGCACAAACTGTGTGCAACATACTCTGGTAAGAGTGTCATGTGGACTTTATCATTTAAGGTTACATTAACCATGTGTGGGAGGTGGTGCTGGCAAACCAGTGTTACAGATGGAGAAATTAAGGCTGGGAGTCACATAGTTGGGAAGAATGAGGCCAGAATAGATGCCCAGACCAGCAAGACCCTGTGACCATCCTTCCCTGGTGTCCTGTAGGTTCCTGGTCTATGGCCGTTATTGCAGTCAGGTGGAGTCGGCCAGCAAGCACTTGGATCAAGTGGCCACAGCGCGAGAGGATGTGCAGATGAAACTGGAGGTAGGATGTGCCTCTCAGTGGGATTTTTCCCTTTCTTTTCTGGGTCCCTTCCTTGGAACACAAAAGAGTCAAAAGAATTGGTTGTGGATTCATGTTCAAGATCATTGGGGGATTCTAGGCTGTCACTCTATCCCTGAGCCACGCCCCCAGCCCCTCACTCTAGGCTGTCACTCTACCTCTGGGCCACACCCCCAGCTCTTCACTGGGAATTCTAGGCTGTCACTCTACCCCTGGGCCACACCCCCAGCTCTTCACTGGGAATTCTAGGCTGTCACTCTACCCCTGGGCCACACCCCCAGCTCTTCACTGGGAATTCTAGGCTGTCACTCTACCCCTGGGCCACACCCCCAGCTCTTCACTGGGAATTCTAGGCTGTCACTCTACCCCTGGGCCACACCCCCAGCTCTTCACTGGGAATTCTAGGCTGTCACTCTACCCCTGGGCCACACCCCCAGCTCTTCACTGGGAATTCTAGGCTGTCACTCTACCCCTGGGCCACACCCCCAGCTCTTCACTGGGAATTCTAGGCTGTCACTCTACCCCTGGGCCACACCCCCAGCTCTTCACTGGGAATTCTAGGCTGTCACTCTACCCCTGGGCCACACCCCCAGCTCTTCACTGGGAATTCTAGGCTGTCACTCTACCTCGGAGCCATAGTCTCAGCTCCTCAGTGGGGAATTCTAGGTAGGGGTTCTCTGCCTCAGCCACTTCCCAAGTCCTGGTTTTCTTTTGTATGTATGCGTGTGTGTGTGTGCGCACGCACACACATTTGTTTGTGCTGATGGAGGTCAGAGGACAATCTGGGGTCTCCATTCCTCCTCTGGAGCCATCTACCTGGTGTTTTGAGGCAGGGTCTCTAATTGCCCTGCAACACTCTCATTATGCTAGGTTGCCTGGCCAGAGAGCCCTGTCTCTGTCTCCCCAATGCCGGGATAAAAGTGTGTGCCACCATGTCTAACTTTGTGTGTTTATGTGTGCACCCATCTGGAGGTCAGAGGTTTACTTCTCACACCTTCCACTATCTCTGTCCGCCTTAGATTTTGAGATAAAAATATCTCTTGCCAAACCCAGAACTCACTGATTGGCTAGACTGACTGGCCAGTAAGTTCTGGGGATCTGCCTGGTCCCTCCCGCCTCATCCCAGTGCTAGAGTTATAGACATGCATGACCATGCCTGGCTGGTTTTCCTTTTCTTACTTTATTTTAAAAAAGATTTTATTTCTTATTATTTTAAATTTATGTGTATGAGTGTATTGCCTGCATGTATATAAGTGTATCTGTGTTGTGCAATGCCCACAGAGGTCAGAAGAAGGAGTTGGATCCCCTGGAACTGGAGTTACAGATGGTTGTTAGCTGCCATGTATGTGCTGGGAATTGAATCCAGGTCCTCTGCAAGAGCAGCCAGTACTCTTAACCACTGAACCACCTCTCCAATCCCAAGTTCCCAGACTCTTAAGTGTAGGGTTGCATTGTAGTTGTACCAGTTGGGGCTGGCTTTTTCCTTGGTTCTGGGGCTCTGACCTGAGGTCCTCATGCTTGCATCACAAACACTTTACCCACTGAGCCATCTCTCCAGTTCTCAACTAGTAATCTTTGAAGGCTAATGGAAGGAAGCCTCTGGAAACCACAGGGAGAGAACAGATCAGGGAAGATATGACCCAGAATTCTGAACCTCCACCCTAGCAGAGTGCTGAGTTTGGAAAGACTCCTGATATCCAGGTTCCAGCCTTACCTCAACCTAGCTCTGACTCCACACTGAACCCCAGTGTTGAGCCTGAGCATTAGTTGATGGTACCCCAACTTCACCCTGAAACTCTGGCCAAGCCTTGGTCCTTCTCTCTGTCCCCTGCCTCCCCCAGATGGCCTAATGCTGGGCCAGTGAAAGGAAATACCCCAAACTTAACCCCCATCCCACAGCACCCTGCCTTCCTCATTTTTTGGGGGGCGGTGAGAGATGTGGTTTTTTGGGTGGGATTTAGTGAATGGTATGGGACTATGGGGCTGCACACACGTTGTGTATTTATTCAAGTTTTGTGTGTTTGTGTGTGCATTTATGTACACCATGGTATCCATTTGGTAGAGGATGATTTTTAGAAGTTGGTTCTCTTCTTGCACCATGTAGTTTGGATTGGATTCAGGTCATCAGGCTTGGCAATGAGCCCTTTTACCTGCTGAGCCCTCTCACAAGCCCCTCTACCTTGTTTTTTTGAATCAAGTTGTCTCTCTGGGATCTGAAACTTGCTTTGTTGATTTTATCAGGTTGGATTGTTAGTGAGCCTCCATATCCACCTGTCTCTCCCTCCCCAGTGCTAAGATTATAAGTCCGTGGGGCTAGAGAGATGGCTCAGCGGTTAAGAGCACTGGATGTTCTTGCTGAAGACCCAGGTTCAAATACCAGCACCCACATGGTGTCTAACAATTGTCCATAACTCCAGTTCCAGGGGATCTGATGCCCTCTTCTGTCTTCTGTGGACACTGCATGATGTGGGTGCACTTGCATACATGTGGGCAATACATGTATACACATAAAATAAAAATAAAGCAAAAAAGTTTTAAAAAAGATTATAGACCCATGTACCACTATACCCAACTTAAATTTAAAAAATTTTTATTTTAAAATTTATGTTTATGTGTGTTTGTCTATGTGTGGGTATGTGTACATGTGAGTGCAGTACCTCTACCAGCCAGAAGAGTGTGTTAGATCCCCTGAAACTGGGGTTACTAACACTTGTTAGCTACCATGTGGGTGCTGGGAACTCAACTCAGCTCTTCTGTCTGCAAGAGCAGTCAGTGCTCTTAACTCTCCAGCTTGCCAGACCCTCAACGTTTTATTTTATTTTATTTTATTTTTATTTTATGTGTATGAGTGTATTGCCTGAATGTATGTGAGTGCACCTGTGTCATGCAGTGCCACAGAGGTCAGAAGAGGGCTTCGGATTCCTCTGGAACTGGAGTTAAGGATGGTTCATAGCTGCTATGTGGGTGCTGGGATTTGAACCCGGGTCCTCTGCAAGAGCAGTCAGTGCTCTTAACTGCTGAGCCATCTCTCCAGCCCCAACCCTCAACTTTTTCAAAATGTGGGTTTTGGGGGTGGAAGTTAGGTCTTCATCTTGCACGGCAGGAACTTCATGGACCAAACCATTTCCCCAGCCATCACACTTACTCAAGTGTGTGCCCCCACCTCATCCAGCTGCCACACTTCCTCAAGCTCACTTCATGCTCTTCTTCTCTGTTCCTCCAGGAATGTTCTCAAAGAGCCAACAATGGCAGATTCACCCTTCGGGACCTGCTGATGGTGCCCATGCAGCGTGTGCTCAAGTATCACCTCCTTCTCCAGGTGCTGGGCACAAGGCCGGGTCCCTGGGTGTGGGCTGAGCTTGCGCCTGAGTTTCTTTTCTGGTGCTGTGATGAAATATTCTGACAAAAACAACTTTAAGGGAGAACTTATTTGGACATAATTCCAGGTTACAGTCCATCATTTTAGGGAAGTCAGGCAGGGACTTAAGCAGTGAGCCACATTCAGGACCCCCACGCTCATGTCTAAAAAAACACATACAGAGAGAGAGAGAGAGAGAGAGAGAGAGAGAGAGAGAGAGAGAGAGAGAGGAGAGACACAAAGAGACAGAGAGACAGAATGACAGAGAGACAGAGACATAGAGATACACACAGAGAGACACACACAGAGAGACAGAGTGACAGAGAGACAGTGAGACAGAGAGCAAGAGAGTAGCAGAGAGACACAGAGTGACAGAGATAGTGACAGAGAGAGCCACTCAGAGATAGATGACTCAGTGGGAAAGAATGTTTACTGCTCTTGCAGAGGATCTGCGTTCCCAGTACCCACATGGCCACTAACAACCACCTGAAACTCCAGCTCCAGGGGATTTGGTGTCCTGTTCCAGCCTCCTCTCGGGTACCTTCACATGTGTGCTTTACTTCCGCACACATGCATACATATAATTTAAAAAATCATGCAAAAAGAGCAGAGAAAGCACGCAAGCTTACTTGTGTCCGAGCCCCCTCTACACATATATGATCTAGGACCCAAGCTCAGAGAATAGTGCTGCCCACAGTGGGGGAGCCTTCCCACCTCAGTGAATACATTTGACCCCTGCTTCAGACATGCCACAGGTCAACCTGATCCACACAATTCCTCATTAAGACTCTTTCCTGATTGCTTCTAGATTGTGTCAAGTTGACAATAAATCTAGTCATCCCAGCATACCCGCCCTGCTCCATGTGACTATAGAGATGGGCCAGGGCTGGCTTTGAGGGCTGGGGCTTTGGCATATTTAGGCATAACTGGAATGCACCAGCGTTTCCATCCTCTAGGAGGATCTGGTAGTCTAGCATGGGTTGGAAGTTCTGGAAATGGGGACAGACCCAGGTGACATCTGACTCTTGGTCCACGCAGGAGCTGGTGAAACACACGCAGGACACCATAGAGAAGGAGAACTTACGTTTGGCCCTGGATGCCATGAGGGTGAGGGGGTGCTTCTGCTTGCTGGGTGCCTGTGCCGGAGACGACCTCTCTAGCATCCTTGTGGGTGCTGATCCCTCTAACCCAGGCCTTGGAAAGGATTGGACCAGGCGTGCAAGAAAGTAAGCCTGCAATCTCATCCCTTTCCCAGGACCTGGCACAGTGTGTGAACGAGGTCAAGAGGGATAACGAGACATTGCGGCAGATCACCAACTTCCAGTTGTCCATTGAGAACCTGGTGAGGGGGTGAAGCTGGGCGGGCCAAGGGCGTAGTCACGTGGGGAGGGTGTCTGGTTCCCTTCTGGGTGAACCTTGGCTAGATCCCCACCCTGCCTATTGTGTAGGACCAGTCCCTAGCCAACTATGGCAGGCCCAAGATTGATGGGGAGCTAAAGATTGCCTCGGTGGAAAGGCGCTCCAAGACCGACAGGTGGGCAGAGCCAACTCGGACAGGGCTGGGGGTAGAGTGAGTACTCAGAGAGGTTGGTGAAGGACCCTCATGGGCCTGGATTGGAGCTTGGGCAAAAGGTGGGCCCACATTTATAGATAGGCAGGTGGGTGGAGCCAAGTGGGTCTAGGGTGGAGCCTGGGTAGGGGCAGGGCCAGATTTTTAGATGGATGAGTGGGAAGGACCAATCTTTGAAGTGGCGCCTTTCTGGCTGTGTTCTTAGGTAAATGGGTAGAGTCAACATGGATCAGGGGTAGAGCCTGGGCCGGGGATGAGGCCAGACTCTGGTTAGGCAGGTGGGTGGAGTTGACCTAGACCTGAGGTGGGACCTGTGGGACCAGGTTCTTAGGTAGATAGATAGATGGAGTCAATATTGGCTGGAGCAGGGGGCGGGGCTAGGCTCCTAACATAGACATGTGGGTGGAGCTAATGAGAGCGCAGCACGGGCCAGGATTTTAGGTAGGTGGGCGGAGCCAACATGGATATTGGCTGGAGCTTGGGCAAGAAATGGGGTCAGAGTTCTTAAAATTATTTATTTATTTAAATTTTATGTGTAAAAGTGTTTTGCTTGCAAGTATATAAGTACACTTGTGCATGCAGTGCCAGTGACAGCCAGAAGAGGGTGTCCGATCCTCTGGATCTGGCATTACAGATGGTTGTTAGCTGCCATGTGGGTGCTGGGAACCTAACCCGGGTCCTCTGCGGGAGCAGCCTTAACCACTGAGCCGGCTCTGTAGCCCCGTCAGATTTCTTGATGGACAGGACCCACACAGATCTGAGATGAACCAGGTTCTTAGGTAGGCAGGTGGGTAGGGTCGACATGGGTATGGGGTGGGGCCTGAGCAGGGGACGGGGCCAGACTCCGAATAGGAGGGTGGGTGGGTCAACACAGAAAAGAATTCTTGGCGGCCGCCAGGTTCCTATGAAGATTTGTAGGTGAAGTCGGTAGAGATCTGGGGAGGAGCCCGATCAAGAAGGGACTGGGGCCTGATTGACAGATAGAAAGGCTGGTGGGGCCACCCCGAGTGAGGAGCCGAGCCTAGATGGACTTGCGGTCAGAGCTCTAGGGACAGGTTGCCGAACCTACACGGATCACGTGGGTGAGGGCAGGTTGCAGAGTTAGGCATGGCCAGGTTGGAGAAGGTAAGGGCTCTATCTTCGACCACAGGTGGGGGCGTGGTTAGCTGGGGGCAGGGGTCAGACGCAGGAGCTGACCCCGAGGTTTGCAGATATGCCTTCCTGCTGGACAAAGCCTTGCTCATCTGCAAGCGCCGGGGAGACTCCTACGACCTCAAGGCGTCTGTAAACCTGCACAGCTTCCAAGTTCGGGATGACTCCTCTGGGGAGCGGGACAACAAGAAGGTAGGGTTCTGCCCCAGGACTGGGGACTCTGCTGTCGGGGTAGCTTGGGAGTCTACTTAGCCTCTGGATTGCCTGTGTGCATGTTTGTGTGTCTCAGGGTATGTGAATTAGGTCTCCTTTAAGGCAACTTTTTTTTTTTTTTTTTTTAAGACAGGGTCTCACACTGTAAACTTGGTTGGCTTGGAACTTGCTAGTAGCCTAGGCTGGCCTCGATCTCACAGAGATACTCCTGCCTCTGCTTCCTGAATACTGGAAGTACAACCGTGTGCCACCTGGCTCATCCACTTTGTTTTTGAGACAGAGTCTCTCACTGAACTTGAGGCTTGCCCCTTGGCTAGATTAGTTGACTCTGGAGCCCTAAAGATTCTCTATCTCTGTCTTCCTAGCTTGGAGATCACAACTGTGGTCATCATGCCCAGTGTTTTAACACAGGCTCTGGGCAACTGCTTTAACCCCTTAGCTCTGTCCCTAGCCCAACATTTGGTTTTTAAATGGAAAACTTCCATATATGTGACATTCTTTTAGGTACTAAGGTTGAAACAGGCATGGAGCTGGGCATGGCGGCACACACCTTTAATCCCAGCATCAGGAGACAGAGGCAGGCAGATCTCTGAGAGTTCCAGGCCAGCCTGGTCTACATAGTGAGCATCAGGCCAGCTGGGGTTTCAGCTGTTTGTCTCAAAAGCAAACAAACAAACAAAACTTCCCAAAACCCCAAACCAAAACAAAAAACATAAAAACTACAGCTAGAAGCCAGACACGGAGGTGAACCTCCTGGTGCAGGCTTATAATCCCTGCTACTTGAGAGGCAGATACAAAAGGATCCCAAAGTTCAAGGCTAGTCTGAGATATAGAGTGAGTTAGGCAAACTTAGTGAGACCCTATCTCAAAATAAAAAGGGGAAAAAAAAGAGCTTTGGGAATGTAGCTCAGTGGTAGAGTGCCTGTATGAGGCCTGGGCTCAATGTCTATACTGCAGAAACAGTAACAGCCACAAACTAGAAACAAAAACCAAACAGACCAAACAAAATAACAAAAAGCAAAGTACCCAAACAAAGGAGATATAATTCCCTCTGTTGTGGCCTGGGCCTCCCGAAGGAAAACAAGAACAAGACAGAAACGAATTTTGTAAGAAAATGACCCAAGAGCCTCACAGTGATGGGTGGGGGAGGGGAGCAGGGCTATTTTACAAGACTTTATGGTCAGAATGTGGAGGTGATGTTTGAGAAGTCTCTTTTCTCCTTCTCTTCCTCCTCCTCCTCCTCTTCCTCCTCCTCCACCTCCTCTTCCTCTTCCTCCTCCTCCACCTCCTCCTCTTCTTCCTCCTCCACCTCGTCCTCCTCTTCCTCTTATTCCTCCTCCTCCTCTTCCTCTTCTTCCTCTTCCTCCTCTTCCTCCTCCACCTCCCCCTCTTCCTCTTCCTCCTCCACCTCCTCCTCCTCCTCTTTCTCCTCCTGTTCCTCCGTCTACCCCTCTCCTCCTCCTACTCATCCTCTTGCTCATCCTTGTCCTCCTCTTCTCTTTCTCCTCCTCCTCCTCTTCCTCCTCCTCCTCTTCCTCCTCCTCCACCTCCTCCTCCTCCACCTCCTCCTCCACCTCCTCTTTTTCCTGTCTTCTTCCTCCTCGTCTTTTTCATCCTCCTCATCTTTTTCATCCTCCTCCTCTTTTCCTTCTTCTCTCTCCTCACTTCCTCGAACTCGTTCTGCTTTGAACTTGAACTCACCCCTTCCCTTAGCCCTCCTTCTGGGAGTCCCCTCTGCCCTGGGCTGCTGCACCCATATCTCTGGGCCCATGTCTCTCTTTTCCTCATGCATATGCCAAATGCTTTCCTGAAATCTCCTGTTGTGGGTCTGTACTTCCTTCATACTGCTGAACCCCTGAACCCCTGAAATAGGCAAGGTCCTGCTCCATGCTCACTCTTAGCTTGGTGCCCTGTCTTCTAACAGACACCCAGAAAATGCTTGAAGAATAAACTATTGGTGTGTGTGTGTGTGTGTGTGTGTGTGTGTGTGTATGTGACTTCTGGGCTTGTGGATGTGTGTTTGGATATTCTAGTCAGACTGTATGAACACATGCATGCTTGTGTCCAGGGGCAGGGACAGTATCTCCATGACCCCCTGCTTCCTGAGGGTGAGGGGCTGGTGGGGTGTAGTCCCACCTTCTGCAGGGGGTGTGGCTTCCGCCTGAGATCTGCTTCATCACATACAGTGGAGTCACATGTTCCTCCTGATCGAAGATCAAGGTGTCCAGGGATATGAGCTGTTCTTCAAGACTCGGGAACTGAAGAAGAAGTGGATGGAACAGTTTGAGATGGCCATGTGAGTCCCAATCCCCCTTGCTTGGTTCATTCCACATACCACAAAGACAGTAGCAGCAACAAACTAAAAACCCAATGCCCAAAGACAAAAGCAACAAAAACAAAAGCAGCAACACAATGAAATCATAAGGCCTCTCATTCCTCCCCCTTCTTTAGCTTCCTCCGCCTCTACCTCTTCCTATCCCTCTGCTTTTCCTCCCCTTGTTCTGCTCTTCCTCTGCGTAGGCCTCCACTTCCTCCTCCAGCTACTCCTTGCTTTCTACGCTCTCCTCCTCTTCCACCTCCAGGTCCTCTCCCTCCTTTGACTCTTCCTTAACTTTTCCTTAACCTCCTCCTCCACCTGCTCCTTATTCTATTGAGGTGAAAATTACACAACAAGCTGCAAGTACTCCATATCATAGGCTTAATGGCATTTAACACATTCACATTGAGTAACCACCAACCTCTTGTCCAAACCCTTTCGGCATCCTCAAAGGAGCTCCTGTACCCATAAACCATCACTCTCCACTCTCCCTTCCCCTACGTCCTGGTACCTACTCACCCACCTCCCCTGTCTGCCAGTGTTCACTGCAGCTTGATTCTTAATAGCTCAAAGGTGGAAGGAACCCAAACACCAAGCACAGACGGATAGTATGATACCTTCATTCCGTGGAATACTATCCAGCCATGTAAAGGATGAAAGCCTGGTGTGGTGGCGCATGCCTTTAATCTCAACACTCCGGAGGCAGAGGCAGGCGGATCTCTGTGAGACTGAGGTCAGCCTGGCCTCCATAGCGAGTCCAGGCTAGCTGGGCTACAGGGAGACCCTGTTGCAAAAACGAACAACAGCAACAACAACAAAACCCAACCAACAGAGCAAGCAAACAAAAGGATGAAGTGTTGTTTCTCTCAGTTCTCCTGTTCTCTTCCAGCTCCAACATCTACCCAGAGAATGCCACAGCCAATGGACACGACTTTCAGATGTTCTCTTTTGAGGAGACCACTTCCTGCAAAGCCTGTCAGATGCTACTCAGGTGTGTGTCAGGGGGTACCGAGCCCTGGGCTTGCTCAGCTCTTCCTCTCCAGAGAGAGCGCCTTCGTTGATCCCCTCTTCCTCATCTCCTTTTCTCCTCCTGCCTCCTCTTCCTCCTCCCCCCCTTCCCTCTCCACCTCCTCCTCTCCTCTCCCTCTTCCTCTCCCTCCTCTGCCTCTTCCTTTCATCCATTCTCCTTTCCTGTTTCCTCATTCTCTTCTCTTCCTTGCCTCTGCTCCCTCCTCCGCTCCCCTATCCTCTCCCTCCTCCCCCTCCTCTTCCTCCATTTCTTCTCTTCTCCCTCCTCTTCTTCCCCTTCTTCCTCTAATTTTTCTTCCCCTCTCCTCCCTCCTGTCCTTCTCCCTCCTCCCCCTCCTGTCCCTAATCCTCCTTTTCTTCCTCCTCCACTCCTTCTTTCTTGTTTTTGAGAGTGCATCACTCTGTAGCCCAGACTGGTCCTCGCCTTGCTGGACAGCAAGGACATCCTGCCTGGAAGTCCTCTCTGCCCTGGGCTGCTGCACCCCTGTCTCTTGGCTCATGTCTCTTGGATGACAGGTTGCATCACCGTACCAGGTCTTTGGCATCCTTTCAGCGAGGAAACATGTGAATGGTTAGCGTGACAATCACACCCCATGTCTCCCCTTATCTCCTTGCATTCCAGAGGCACGTTCTATCAGGGCTATCGCTGTCACAGGTGCCGGGCACCTGCACATAAGGAGTGTCTGGGGAGGGTCCCTCCATGTGGCCGCCACGGGCAAGGTACTGTTGGGATGGTGTGTGTGAGGGTGGGTGTGCTTCTCTATGGGGACCATGCTGAACTACTGGCTTTTCCCTTCCTTAGATTTTGCAGGAACTATGAAGAAGGTAAGATCCCCTTTTGTTCTATGCACGAGAATTCAGAATTTCATGGGGAGGACACCCTACAGACGAGCAGGATGGGTACAGAGGGGCTGAGGAAACCCTAAGCTGGGAATGAGTAGCTGTGCCTACTTTCTCCATCTCCCCCTCCAGGACAAGGCACATCGAAGGGCCCAAGACAAGAAAAGAAATGAGTTGGGTGAGTAGGCAGGGGGTACTGTGGGTGGGAGGAGGAGACTGGAGTCTGTTCCAGGAGGAGGAGGAGGGGGAGAAGAAAGGAGGAAGAGAGGGAGGAAGAGGAAGAGGAAGGGAAGAGGAAGAGGAAGGGGGAGGACGCAGAAGACAAAGGGAAGAGGAAGAGGAGGGGCAGGACGAGAGGGAGGAGGAAGAAGGGGAGGAGGGGGAAGAGAGGAAGGAGGAGGGGAAGAGGGGTGGAAGAGACTGAACTGTATTCAAGGAGGAGGAGGAGGAGAAGGAGGAAGAAGAGGAGGAAGAGGAATAGAGGGAGACGGAGGAGTACGAAGAGAGGGAGGAGAGAGTGTGGACCAAGAAAAAGAGCGAAAAGAAGAGGAAACGGAGGGGAAGGGAGAGGAAGGAGAGAAAAGGGGGGAGGATATAGAGGAGGATGAGGAGGAGGGAGAGGAAGGGAGGGCAAAGAGGAGAGGGAGGAGGATAGGGAGGGGAAGGGGAACAGGGGCAGGATCTAGGACCCACCTTAATAATCAGGAGACCCTAGTCATTTCCCCAGCCGCTCGGGGGGATTGTAGGCTGTTACTCCACCCCTGAGCCACGCCCCGAGCCCCTCACTGGAGGATTCTAGGCAGACGCAGGTTTTCATTTCCTCCGAACATATATCTTGCAGTGCATTCTGGGAAGATGCACTCAGCTTTAGTAGATGCTGCCCAGCTGGAGTTCTAGTTACTGGTACCCTCACCACCGCTTGAGATTGTCACTCTTAAATTTAGCCACTCCTGGAGGGGGGTCGTTTCAATCAGCTTTGAATGTTCTTTACAAAACCAGCTCCGTTGCACCATCCCCCTCCACCCTCCAGGTCTGCCTAAGATGGAAGTGTTTCAGGAATACTATGGGCTCCCTCCACCTCCTGGAGCCTTTGGACCTTTTTTGCGGCTCAACCCTGGGGACATTGTAGAACTCACCAAGGCAGAGGCTGAACAGAACTGGTGGGAGGTAAAGCTTGCAGCTGTGGGAGTGACGGGACAACATCTGATGTGGCATCATTGGTACATGTGATTTGGGAGGAATGGGGTCAACTCACGAAGCGCTTGAAATGATTCCTGGAGAGTACAAGTGGAGGTGAGGTCATAGGTGTGTAGTCAGGTCAGGGTCATAGGAGCTGGAGACCTGCAGGAGTAAGACCACAATGTCATGAAGTTCTGTAGGTGGTGCCGTGCGAGTGGATACATGGAGATATCCTGGGTCAGTTGCCTTCCCAAGACGTATGTACTTCTTGGCAGCTCTCTGGGCCATCTCTTCGCATTACTTTGTTTTCTGTTGTAGTCCTCCCTCTGCAACACAAGGCCTCAGTAATGCTAAGCAGGCACTCTACCCCTGAGCCACGCCCCTAGCTTCTCACTGGGGATTCTAGGCTGTCACTCTACCCTGAGCCACGCCCCCAGCCCCTCACTGGGGATTCTAGGCTGTCACTCTACCCTGAGCCACGCCCCCAGCCCCTCAGTGGGGATTCTGGGCTGTCACTGTACCCGAGCCACGCCCCCAGGCCCTCACTGGGGATTCTAGGCTGTCACTCTACCCGAGCCACACCCCCAGCCCCTCACTAGGGACTCTAGGCAGAGGCTGAATGCTGAGTCATACTCCCACCCCCTTATTGGTGAGTGAGGGATGGACAGTTGTAGTGTCCATTGGAAAGAGAAATGCACAGGATTGGGGGACGGACGGTTTACACACATACACACAAACACACATTTATACACGCACACATGTACACACACGGATAAATACCTATAAACCCTGCCTGTGCATTTGTCTCTTGTATTTTTAGGGAAGAAATACCTCTACTAATGAAATCGGCTGGTTCCCCTGCAACAGAGTGCATCCCTACGTGCACGTGAGTACCTTAAGGCTGGGTGGCATGAGGATCAGGGATTCTGATAGGCCCAGCAGACAGGAGTTGTGGATGTGCCCATCATGGCGGGTCTTTTGCGGGTCAAGGCTAGTTCTGCCCAATAAGCGACTTGAGTGAGCCGGAAACGGCTGATCTTGGAAGCTCCTAGCTTGCTTCTTTTGGGGAATGTTTACTCTTTCCTATGGGTGTCATATATGAGTGAGCAGAGGTGCTGGGTGGACAGTCCCTCTGATCCTTCCCAAACACCTGGCTGAGTCCTGTGAGGGGCAGGCTCTCCCTCCTTGCTCTGCTCTTGATGGACAGGTCACTAACCCCAGAACCTCAGTGCTTCCCTGCTCATCATCACTATTATGTGCAGTTGTTTTCTTGATTTTTTTATTTATTTTTATTTTATGTGTATGTGTTGTGCCTGCATGTATGTAAGTGCACCCATGTTGTGCAATGCCTATGGAGGCCAGAAGAGGGTGTCAGATCCCCTAGAACTGGAGTTACGGACAGCTAGGTGCTAGGAAATGAACCTGGGTCCTTTGCAAGAGCAGCCAGTGCTCTTACCCACTGAGCCAGCTCTCCAGCCCCTTAATTCGAATTTTAAATTAACTTAAAAATAATTTATTGAGACTTTCTTAATGCATATAAGGTGTTTAAATCAAATCCATGCCTGCTCCCTCCCCTCCAATTCCTCCCATGTCTCCCCACAACTTTTCTCTGATAACTTCAAGTACTCTTTGTTCTTTTTTGATTTATTTATTTTTTATGGGGCTTTTGGCGACTCTAACATCCCCCTCTCTGAAGAGGTAACCCTAAAATGTTTAGGGATTAGATGAAAGCTCTCAAATACTTTTGACATTTTTGGCCTTTGGAATAGAGTATGTTGCTAAGAGGCCCAAGGACATTTTGACTTTTAGCTAAGAAACTGGCTACATTTCTTTGGGGTCTTTTTACCCTAACTGCCTAGCCAATTCCTACCTCCTATTCTTATCACGCCATCCTCTGAAGGGGTTACCCAAATTCCCAATAGGGAATAGGGACGCAGACTGCTCTGGCTTCTTCCATGGTACACAGGGACGCAGGGTGAGGCCATTGGAGTACCCCTTCAGTGGGTCTATCTAAAAGACTCCCAAATTGCATAACTCTTGTCTCTAAGGGGAAAAGAAAGTCCTTGAATCATGAATAGGAGATATGAAGAAGTAAAGGTAAGAGTAATTAGCATTACAAGTTCTAGACAGGGAACTAGAAAAAATTAAATTAACTTTTTATTATTTATTTATTTGTTTATTTATTTATTCTTTTTTGAGACAGGGTCTCACTATACACCTTTGGCTGGCCTGGAACTCACAGAGAATCCTCCTACCTCTGCCTCCTTAGTGCTGGGGTTAAAGGCATGTGCCACAGTGTCAGGCTTTTTTTCTTTTAATTTCTTTTGTTTATTTTTATTATTTTATGTCTATATTTTGCCTACAGTGCACTGATGTATGTATGGCAGAGGCCAGAAGAGGGTATTGGCTGTCCTGGAACTGCAGTTATGGATGGTTGTGTGCTACCATGTGGGTGTGGTGAACTAAATAACGGTCCTCTACAAGAGCAGTCAGTGGTCTTGACCACAGAGCCATCTCTCCAGCCCCTCTTCTAATTTTAAAATTGCAATTTATTTGTTTGTGTGTCTATACCATAGCTGTCATGTGAGGTCAGAAGACTACTTGTGGAAATTGGTTCTCTCCTCCCACTGTAGGGTTCTGGGGATTGAATTCTGATCATCAGCCTCAGTGTCAAAACCTTTGCCTCCCATTGACCATCTTGCTAGCCAAATTAACTTTGTTTTGGAGTCTTTGTGAGGCAGGGTCTCCCTGTAGCCCCAGCTGTCCTGGAACTCACTATGTAGACCAGGCTGGCCACCAACTCACCTAAATTAACCATTTAATTAACTATAAGATCATGAGTTTCCAAATGATGTTTTCTACATTGCATTATCATGCTTTGTTCACGTTCACCCTGCACTGCCCTCCCCGCTCCTCTGCTCCCTCCTGCTGGGGCTCCTCTTCCAAATAGCTTCCCTCAATTTCCATGTCACATAGGCGCCCAATCTGAACTTAAACTTCTCCACTGTCAGATTACATTGTGAGCTTCAAACTCCATCATTCCTTCCTGATTGGAAGGTTTTTCTCAAGGGTTGGGAGTATGGCTCAGAGTGACAGCTGGGTCTGGACAGATGACTCAGGGTTAAGAACACTGGCTGCTCTTACAGAGGACCCAGGTTTGATTCCCAGCACCCATATGGCAGCTAATAACCATCTGTAACTCCAGCTCCAGGTGATCTGATGCCTTCTTCTGACCTCCATGGGCACTGCACACATGGGTGCACTTACTTACATGCAGGCAATACACTCATACACATAAAATAAAATAAAATAAAAATAAAAAAAATATAAAAAAGAAGTAGAGTGACAGCCTAGAGTTTCCCAGTAAGGGGCTGGGAGCATGGCTCAGCAATAGTGTGACAGCCTAGAATCCCCAGAGAGGGACTGGGCATGGCTGTTCCTATCACATCCATAGTCAAGAGCAGAGAGAAGGAATCCATCCATGTTTGCTTATGCTCTGCTTGATTTCTCCAATCTTGCACAGTTTGGGACCCTCTGCCTGGGGAATGGTGCTGCCCAGGAAAATCCTCACAGACATGCCCACAGGCTATGCCAGTGGAGACAGTCTCCCATTCAGTCTCTCCTCACAGGTGATTCTAGGTTGTGCTGTGTTGTTGAAGTTAGCCATCACACTTAGTTGAGGGTAAGCCATGGTTTACAGATAGAAGGGAATCCAACTGGATTCTAGGGTTGCTTTCCCCATGAATAGCACAGTGCCCAGCACATAGCACCCATTCAATCAATGCTAGTGTAGTGGATGATGCAGACTGCCTTGCAGTCTGCCAGGTAAGAGCCTCTTCTCTGAGACTGGGTCTCTGTGTTCCCAGGGCCCTCCTCAGGACCTGTCTGTGCATCTCTGGTGAGTACAACCTCATCTTTCTTTATTTTTGCTGGGGTTTTATAGCGGGAAGAGAGGTTATAGGCTGGACATGAGGAGGCCTCCAAAACAATCAGTTATTTGTTATTTGAATCCTTATCACTTATTTCGGAGTCTACCCTGGGTTGAGAGGTTCTAGGGAAGAGGAAGGGAAAGGAAGCTCCCTGATCTTGGGAGATAATGATCTTGTTTGAAGGAAGATAGTCACAATGACAGAGATGGTGACAGTGCTGGTGGTGATGGTGGTGATGGTGGTGGTGGTGCTGGTGGTGATGCTGTTGGTCATGATGGTGATGATGATGATTGTGATGGTGATGATGATGGTGATGATGGTGATGGTAATGATGGTGCTAGTGGTGGTGATGACGGTGCTGGTGGTGATGGTGTTGGTGATGATGGTGATAATGGTGATGATGCTGGTGATTATGATATATAAAATATATTGTATATGTCCATAATATATAATATATTATATAATTATATAGGTAAAATATATTATATACTATATAATACTATATACTATAGTATAAAACTATACTATATATATTACATATACTGTATTATCACATTACATATATACAACATGTTTTACATGTAGTTACACATATAGATACATTAAATTCATTGTGTATTACAGATAAAGGAAACGTGGGCAGGTGAGATGGCTCAGTGGATAAAAGTGCTTGCTGCCAGGCTTGATGCTGAGTTCAGTCCTCTGATCCCATGGTGGAAGGAGAGAACTGACTCTCACAAATTGACCCCTGACCTCCACATGTGTCCTCTAGCCCTTATGCCCCCCCATGAAAGAATAAAAATAAAGTTAAAAATTCAAAGGGAGCATGGAAATATGTTACATCATAAATATATTCAAATTTATATTTATATTCAGTATTTTTTAGTGTATTCAAAATGGTGTGTAGCCATCACCTCTGTACAATTCTAGAACATTCCACCACCTGGAAGCCCCATCCCTACAAGTCACCATACCCTTCCAACCTCCAATCCTGGTACCCACAAATCCACTTCCTGTTTCTGAACTCTTCAGCTCTGGATATTTCCTGTCATGGACTCCCACACCACGTGGTCTGTTTTCTCTGAGTCCGATGCCCTCGGGGTCTGTCCCACTGTGGGGTGTGCATGCTGCATTCACCTTGACAGTTGACTATTCATTTATCCTGCTTTTTATTTATTTTCATTTTATGTGTATGAGTGTTTTGCCTGCATGTATGTAAGTGCTCCACAGGTGTGCCATGTCCATGGAGGTCAGAAGAGGGCGTCTCATTTCTAAGAACTGGAGTTACAGATGGTGGCTAGCTGCTGTGTGGGTGCTGCGAACTGAATTGGGGTTCTCTGCGAGCATGACCAGTGCTCCTAACCACTCAGCAATCTCTTGAGCCCCCATTCATCTTCCTTTTAAAGCATTGCATTAAATGCTATTTACTGTTGTTTATCTTGATGACTGGGATTTAGGTCTTCTCTTAATCTTAAAAACATTTATTCATTAGTTTTACGTATACATGTGTGAGTGTATGTGCCATGGCATGCATGTGGAGGTCCAAGGACAGCTTGTGGGAGTCTGTTCTATACTTCCACCATTTGATCCTGGGGATCAAACTCAGCCTCTCAAGCTTGGCCACATGCTCCCTTATCGGTTGTGCCATCTCACAGGCCTTTCCCTTAACCTTTTGAACCCCAGGCTGATATCCCATTCTCTGTCCATTTCCACCCTGGTACCCACAGTGATGGATATGTAGCATGCACCCAGGAAAATGTTGGCCCAAGCCCTGTGTGACTGTTCCTGGTGTGCCTTGGCAGGTATGCGGGACCCATGGAGCGTGCGGGCGCCGAGAGCATCCTTGCCAACCGTTCAGATGGGACCTATTTGGTGCGACAGAGGGTGAAGGACACTGCGGAATTCGCCATCAGCATCAAGTAACTCTTCTCTCTCTGACAGTGATTCCGTTGACTTGACTCTGAAGGTTCTTATAAATAAGAACAGCAGAATTTTACTTTATATAAGTGTACATTAACAATACTTACCTTTTATTGAACTACCTCAGGGTTCTAGGAACATGCGCCCTTCCCTTCCCCTCTTCCTTCCCCTCCCCTCCCCCTCCCTCCCCCTTCCC